TTCTGGTCTGATTTGAGGTGCGTCTTAATAAAAGTTAAAATATTTTCACAAGTTTTCCCTTTGTTTGAGCAGTGATGTGAGCAACTGAAGTAAGCTAAGGACAAAGGGGGAAAGTGGGAGGAGAAGATAGAAAATGGGACATTTGAAAAGCAGCTGAAAATGCAAGACAACAAAGTATTGAACCAGGACTGTTCCTCCCAAACCAGAACTGTTGGAGGGCATTGGAGCATGGGAGTATACATTTCCTCATATTTTCATCTGTAGCAATTGAAAACTTACATGAAGCAAGATTTTGGGCAATGCTGGAATAGCCTCTCATTGCCAGAATGGGGGATTCTGATAGAGGGCTACAACAGAGAAAATAACTTTTCCAAGCCTAAGTCATTGTTGTCAGTTCACTTGCTTTCTCTTTTTTGTGTCACAACCTCAAGGCTAATCGTTGGCATGTTTCCTCTGAATCCTTTTGCTTTCCTTTGTTCTCAGACCCTTGGCTTTTATTTTCATGTCAACTGGGAACCTCCATGTTTCACTGTGAAGATACAATGAAATATATTGCGCTCAAGGGAAGGGGGGACTCTAAATAGATCAAGCATATTAGTTCTGTTTTACCATCAGCTAAAATGAAATTATGTTTGAAAGTTAAGCAGATGTTTCAAGCCTCTCATTCCAATTTAATTATTTATTGACAGGTAGCAGATGGCTATGTTTTCTCCATGAAATTGGCACTTAATTGGAGACCCTTCTATAAATGAATGGGTTGTGGTGATAGAATACACAATCTGTCAACATTCTGGTACAAAGATTTCATCTCAATATAAGTCTGTGCACTCAAGCAGCTGCCATGTTGGACCACACTATGATCTAGTGAAGAATAGATACATCCACTTTTTATGTTTATCAGTTTTACATGTGTTCAGTCATACATACATCTATCCTATGCTCTGTCTGCATGACTGTGCTGCCATTAGGGACAGTCTCCATTGTCCCCAGTGATGGCATGTGCACACAGCCATGCCACCATTAGGGACAATGAGTTCAATTATCACAAATGGTGGCACGGCTAAATGCATGTGCCATCACTGGGGGAAATGTGGGCTATCCCTAATGGCAGCCATGTGCATGCACCACCATTGAAATTCCATTGTCCCTAATGGCAGTGTAGCCATTGGGAACAACAGAACTCAAGCATCTGTAGATTTTCCTATCCACGGGCGGTGGGTCTAGAATGGATCCCCTACAGATACTGAGGCCAACTGTAATTCTGAATGCATCTGCCCCTAACTCTGCTTTTTTGGGGGTATGTTTTATCTTAAAATATGTGTTATATCCTAAATAGCCCAGACACATCCAAACCGTTGATCAGCAGCTGAGGAAATGGAGCTATGTACAACACAAACATCTCAGCTCTTGAGTATCCAGCTGAAGGCTTTGTAGAAGAAGGCACTAGATTGAAAAAGTATATATTTTCTCCCAGTTCTGCCTGCGCATGTCACTAATGGATGTTGGCCAGCATGTCCGAGGATGTATCATGAGGACCATCCAAACAGAATGCGCATCCTGGGAGCAAGTTCCTCAGCAAAAATAACTAAGCCAAGTCTAAGAGCAGATAAAAAAAATTAATCTCAATTGATCAGATCCTTCTCTAAACGTATGTCTGAGATCTGGTAATTTATTCAATTGAGATGAGGATTTGTTGGAAACAACTCCAGCTAGTGGGACAGACCCCTTTGCTGCTTCTTTAACATGAACATGTATTAAGTAGCACACAGGGGACAGAAAATAGTTGAGACCCTTTCAGAAGCAAAATAAGCTCCCATAGCCCAGAGTTACACAGACATATGTCAACAACAGGGTTCTAGCCTCTGTGTATGAATTTAAATATTTTGATTTACTAGTGACATGTCCCGTGATTCATAGAACAAAATGGGTAAGGCCCTGTTCATGTGTATCTGGACCTCATGGCAGTTTGGAAAATAACCCAATAAAAAGATCTCAGTAGATTTAATCAGATCTTCCATCAGTTTCAGACTGTCTGTGTGTGTGTGGTGATGGTGGTGAAGGAGAAGGAGGAGGAAGAGAAAATGTGATGCTTCTTCTGAATCAAAGCCCAGTTTTCTGGGATAATGTTTCTGTGCCACTGTCAAAATGTGAGAGGTGAAATTTTGAAGTGCCCATTCTTGTTCAGAAATGTGAATTTTTGAATCCTGGCCCTCCGTGTGAAACACCTTTTCAGAGATGATTTAATTGTCTCCTCCAATGCTAAGCAGCAGAATAGAAATGAGCACATTTAGTGCATAAGTGATCAGACAAGCATTTATCTGCATGCAGAGATCACTTTGCTGTAGCAGAATATTTGCCCACTGTCCAACTTATCCCTTTGTTCTTGCTGCTTTTTTTAGTTCAATAATTGACTGATATTTTTATCCCTACCCTTGACAAAACATGCACATGATTCATTATTCAAAAAGCCACAACGGAAACTTGACTTTGCTGGGGAAAGTAAATAGCCTTTCAGCAGTGAAGGTTAAAAAGCTGCTTGCATAATGAAAAAAAAATTGTGCAGAATAGACATTCTCAGGCTTTTTGCAAATCATTTAGTCAGGGTTTTGTGGGAAGCCTTGAAATGAGAAAGCTACAATCCTATACACCTTTACCTGGGAGTAAGCTCCATTGAATTCCATGGGATATATGCTGAGTATAGGATTAGACTGTTAAATAGTCAGTCAATCAATTCTTTATTATAGTCCAGAGATCCAGCAAAAACAAATCCACAATATATAAAATAAATTAAAAGCCTAAAGAGTAATTGATAGCCAAACAGTGTATGGGATCAGCTCATCTCCACTGACAAAAAGAGAACATCTTGGTCCGGAGAATATTCACCCTCCATTTTGTTGGCTTGCTTCTTGCCTCAATTTCAGAGTTGATTATTTTTAAATTTCTATTTCATAAATTATGTATTTATTTTTTGCAAAACATCTTAAAAATGGGTTTTTGAAAGCATGCTGAAAGTAACTTGAGGCCCTGCCTTATTTATGGCAGAAAATTTCTAAATGACATCCGCAAGCCTTGGCTGCAATCCTGGATCTGGAAATTATGATAGATAAGGACATCCCTGTGCTTACAGTTGCAGAAACACAGCTGAAATTTGACTGGATCCTGGAGAGGAAAAGGATGTTTGAAAATATTCAAAAATTGTTCAAAAACATGTTTTTGGGGTGTTGAGAAACCTTAAAAAGGCAAATTGTGGACTGACAAGAATCTTTTTAGTTTGTGGGGGGGAACTGTATATGGTTGCTTTTCACAGAATGTAGCATTTTCTGTACAGGAAAATGTATTTACTACACAGAAAATAATATTGACATTCAGGCATGTTATTTTCTACATGGCAGAAATTGTTTTCTGCACAGAAAAATGCTGTAGCTGGGGAGTTATTCTGTACAAAATTTACACATGGTGGATTCAGACAGACATAAAAGAGCACTTTTTAGTAAAGAAACAGCCTTTTCCATGCAGCTACTTGGGAGAAGTTTTGTGATGAAAAGCTATAGCAATAGAAGAGTCCCTCGCACCCTGTCCAAAAAGGGACACACGTGTGTGTAAGCCACACTTATACATGCATATGTCACTAGTACGATGCCAGAAAATGAGTGAATCCATATCACACCAAACCTTCCTGGTTTATAGATTATATTCAGTAAATTCTTCCCTCTGATATTGACCAAAAAAGAAAGAAATGGAAAGCAATGGTGAGGCAGTGGTGAAAAGAGAAAATAAAGAGAAACTGAGATCATCTGTCTATGGATAATGGAACATTTGGCTCTCTGAATGATTCAGACTACATTCCCCATAATCCCTTACCATTGGTGATGCTGGTTTGGGCTTTTGGCAGTTGCAGTCCAGAACATCTGGAGAACCAATGTTTCCCCACCTCTGGCATATAAAATTTAAAAAATATATATCTTTCAATAAAGTTTGGCTTTAAAACATCCCAGAAGAAATGCAATGAAAACTCTTGAGCTTCTACAACCCTTGAAATTTTAAGAGCATTTTAAGCACTCATGTAAAAATACTTCATTTTTAATCCTGTCTGGTGTACAATCCAAACAGATTTGTTCATTTCACAGTTGTCAATACCTTCCACACCCTCAATAAACCATAATGTGAATGAGGCAAATCCTTCATTTTCCTCTTTAAGGCGCTCTCGTCTAAATGGCTGAAACAAGGTTCATTACCCTTCCAAATCGCCTTTATTGATTATAGTTTTTATGTTACCACCCAACTGTATCATTAGAAGATACATTATTTTTCCAAATGCATTCACAACAGTTTCCCAATATCAAGAACATTTACTGAAATTTTCTATTTCTATAATGAGCAGGGGAGATTAATTTATTTTCATTGTGGCAGAGATATTTTCCCCCAAGACAGTACACTTGGTGCAGTGCATAGAACATGGTATTTGGAAACAGAACAAATGGTTTAGGTCTAGACATGAAGCCATGAAGTTTGCGATTGAGCAATCTTGGGCAAGAATCTTGTCACTCACTGGAAGGTGGGTAGGAAATGAAAATACAGGAATTAATCCAGTTCCTCATAAGTGAACAAAATAAACAGTTTTACTGTTAGGCATCAATACATTCTCTTTAACTAAGCCTTTGCAGCCTCTTCTCCTGCACACTTTCTGACACTTACAAAACAGACTTTATTAACAGTGACAGATCCTTTTTAGCTTACTGCAAATAAAACGGACACTTAAAGTAGATAAAAGTGCCGCTGTTTGTAGCTGCATTTGCAAAGTGTTTGA